AGGATTACAGTTTTTGAGAAGCACAATGAAATTAATGGGAATACAATACTTTAGCCGGCTCTCTTAGGAATATAGAAAAACCCGATATTGCATATGCTACCACATAATTCCATTAAAATACGCAAACGACCTTCACCTACACTAAACAAAAGTAAACCACAGAGACTATAATTTTAAAAAATCTCTTAAAAACCTCATAAACATATTTTTGTAATAAACCCGATTTTATATACATTTTGGCAAGGTTATGTATACCAAATATTCATTACATAACTATATGGTAATTATCAACTTAGGCATAATTTTAAACGGAACCGAATTAAACATTTTTTTTTAAAGAACCTTAAATTTAAGCTTTACCAGTAAATCGAAATAAAAATGCTTTTTAACCTTTTGCCAAGGTATATAAACGGCTTGAAAAATAATCTCATTTTTTTTTTACGCCTTCTGCGTTAGTGTTTTTTTTATTACTTAGAAGATTCATGCAAACTATAGTGAAACGCATCCTATGATGGCAAAATAAGTGACTTAGTATCTCTACAAAACAAAAAATACCAACCTATCCAATAAGCGGTAGCGAAAACAAAGAGAAAACATATTAATAGAATTTCTCATTGGCAGATAATTACGACTTTCGCACCACCTTGAGAAACATAATACTAGTATACGGAAATCCTAATAATTGGAAGGCGATCTTGTACAAAAAAATACAAAAGTCATTCTGCGAAGATGAATACATGGTGCTAAGCAGGGCAACACTATATACACAAATTATTGAAAACCTATTTAGTGAACTATTGCCCGAATAGAAAAATAAACATAATTTTTTAACTATTAATGAAGCAGTGAGAAACATTATTAAAAAGAGATGGTTTCCAATAGAAGCCTCGATATGCGGAAACATTGTTCCACCACGCTAAACAGGAATTACAAAAATATTGCTATGAATTCAAGCCTGTCATCTCAACGAATAATCTGGCTAATATTTTCATTTAGTCGCTTTTTAAACAAATAAAAACAAGTTTACTAAAAAAAACTTACAACTCATCACTACTAATAACATGGATATTAATAACACAATAACACAGTATAACAAAATAGCTAAGAGACAGGTAAAAATACAAAAAACAAACTCACAAACACAAGAAAAACAAAAAAAAGAAACAGGATGTAAACACAAAACATAGAAATCAAAAAAAATAGTATAATAATTTAGCTATAAAATACACTAATCATAATACAAAAATACAAAATACAAACCCTGTCAAGAAAAATGATTCATGGGTATACTGGTCAGAGACCTGAAAAAACAGTCAATAAAAATTCATAAAATAAGAAATCATTTTCCCTACCATCCAAAAAAAATACTTTGACTCACGTTATTAATTGGGTACAAACTAAAGAAAGTAAAATGTTGTTAAACTAATCTAGTTAAGTTTTATTATACAAATTTGGAAGCATATTTTTACCTTAAAGGTACAAATAAAGACCGGAAAACCAGTCATCAAACATAAAATGCTTTAATAACTTTTTATATCTTGTATTATTATGTCCTTTTTGCTTAATTAAACACATAATATGTTTATCCATATTTTACCTTTTTATTGATGGTACTTTTATTATGTTCATTCAACACCAATTTACAAATATATACCAACCAGTAACGACAGCAAAAAAATGAGTACATTTTATCAGTATACTTTAGAATATTAAAAAATAAATTTTATTTAAGAGTAAATTAAATATATGTATTATAACGTGTATAATTAAGTAAAATAATGTAGCGTATAAAATAAATATATAGACAAGTCAAAGAGATAAACGAGAGTAAGGAAGGAATGCTTTATTGATCAGCTTTTGGTCTCCATTTATACCTTTACAAAAGGTCGAAAATGCTTCCATATTTGTAAATAAGTTTAATTACCCCAGGTTAGTTTTTATTTAGTTTTTATCTAATTAATAAAATGGTTTGAATTATTTTGTATGTATGTGATAGAAAAAATTAATTTCTTTTTCTTGTATTTTCATTGGCTGTTTCTCAGGTATTCGTTTGGGTCTTCACGGATTATTTTCCCTATGAAAATTTAAGGATTTTGTGTTTTGAACTGTTTTTAAATTTTTTTATATACTGTGATATTTAGTATTTCTTCTTGTTATATTTTGCTTTTGTGGCTTTTTGCAAGGTAGAGTATGCAAACTACTAACCGAGAGAGGAAGTATTTAACATGTTTAATCCAAATTGTATAGTAATAATGTCTGTTTCGTGTTTTTATTGAAATATGGTAAAATTTATAAGGATATTATTATCTAGTTTGATTAGTTGCATATAATATCATCTTGAACGTAATTTATTCAAGTACTAATAACATATTGATAAGGTTAACAAATGGGCTATAATGAATTAAATAAAAAAATTCATAACCTCTACTTTTCCGCATATTATAAAGACTTCTGTATCTGTATGTTATAGCCCGTTACAAGTGTCCAATATTGGATACCACTTCCCAAAAAAATTAAGTTTTAGTAATACAAAAATCTTTCCCCGTCGAGAGGCTATTCATTATCACGTGAGAGAGTAGGCCAAAACCTTACAGTAATCGCAAGGGGCCCCACAGATCTGGAAATTATTTTGTTTTTTAAATTTTCCAATATGATAGAAGTTAAAGTTTAGTGTGGCCCGTATCCTAATATCTCAATAAACGTGATAAAAAATTTACGGTATTTTTTGTTTAATATAAAAGTAAAAATTTGTAAACTCAAGGGGTCGGAGAGACCTACTGCGAGTACACTAATGTTTAATAAAAGGTGCGACTACCGTAGAGATCACATATTACCTTTGAAAATAGATTTGGACAAGTTTAATGTAAACGCGTATTTTGAATGTGGACATTTCTGTGTTTATTAATGATGTAAAAGAAGCTTAACAGTGGTGGATACTCATATCAAATGTATATATAAAGCGAATACTGATTTTAAATAAAATATTCTTTTTCTTTAGTTTTATTTTGGGCTTTCTTGATTTTTATCTGGTTGGTGTTCGTGTGTACACTTCTTCTTATTCTTTTATATATTCCACCCTTTATTTTTAACAGGTTAATTACTTAGAATCCTAGCTGATCAGTATAGATGCTATTGAAGCAATTACTAATACTAAGTGTTGCGATAGAGAAAACTCGGACTGGCATGGCATGCTATTATTTCCTAGAATTGACACGAGTTTAATGAATATCTTTCGAGAGGTTTGCGGTTAGGACAAGTTAGGTAGCCTTTTGAAGCCATTCCAATTATAAAATGCCTTGTACAAAAAGTTTAATGTTTTCACGGAAGGCATGTGTTTTTGACTTTGGAAGAGGAGTTTGTGAACACGAAGAAATTAGGTCATTCATGGAGAACATTAATACCTTAAGCTCTAGGATTGAATGTCAAGGCAAGGGTGCAAAAAATCAGCGAAAGAATGAAGCTTACTAAGTTCCTAAGTGCTCTATCTTATATGGTATACGGGTCTTCTTCAAGCAAAACGTATTATTAAAGTGAAATCGTTCTGGATTCAAATTAAGTTTAGAGGTAGTAGTAGCCTCTGAAATTCTAAAATTTCCTAGCGAGATCACGACTCAAAGGAAGTATATGGCACATGAAGATGTAGCCTGAGCATAAGCTCGTCAAAGCTGTCATTAAAGAAGAAGGACGAGAGTATGACAAGTGATAATACTAAAACTGTTTGATAAATAATGCTTCGTGTTATTAGTAACCCTTTCGATCACTAATTGAGTTTATTTTTGCTTATTTGGTTTTGGTTTGAGCTTTAACCAATAGCTAAGCCCTGCAGACTAAACTGAACAACTACAAGGCAGAGAAGCGCGAAAAAGGGGGGGAAAACCCCATGAATCTTTTTTATTTATTTATTTATCTAAAGCACTGGCTTGCTACAGGCATGATTTATGATCGGTTACTGCTTACTCTACTTCCTCTCTACTAATATAGGGGGCGGAAGTCGCAAGTTCCCTAACGATTCATTGCATTACGAGAAGAACGGACGGGCTTTAGCTAAATAGTATAGATTAATAAAGAAGTAATAACAATATTAAGTGTGATAAGATAGTTAAGTTTTAATACCATTATATTATTAGAAATATCTATATATTAATATATATTAATAGGTTAATAAAATAAACTATAATAAGCCATATTCCTCATCTAAAAAATCTAGGGTGTGCCAACGAGTTCATAACCAATTGCTTGCCTAATTAGTATGGTGTGGTGGCCATGAATCTTTTATTAAGTTTTTGTATACATATATATGGCCGCTAGTGCATTAATCATACATTTTTTAGATCAAATGGCATTAATTAAATACCTTTCACAGTCTTCTAATCTAAAAAATGCATAGCAATTTAATAGAGTTTTAAGCCACCAAGATTGGCTACCGAGGTATCTTTAAAACAAATTGTACCTAATAATCAAGGCATTAAGCCTTCTAAAATGATCTTTAGTTTTAATGGCCACAAAATGGACATTTACATAACAAATGGTAGTACATCCCATTTTGCTCTCTAAAGTATTTACTGCAGCTTTGGCTACCGCTACACAAACATCTTTCTGTGAGTCAAATATTTTCGGTCACCCATTAATTAGTGTTTTTATATGGCTAAAGCAAGTATTAATATTTAGATTGCAAGGGAAGGGGGTCTAATTTGATGCTTTTGCACTAAAACCTTATTAAACAAACACACGTGTAAACAGCTAAAGTGAGATCTCAATGTTTTTACATTTTAATACTGTAGAACGATAAACGTATAATTTTTAGGTAAAACCATATTCATATCTATATAATTCAAGTAAAAAAAATTAAAGTTTATTTATATTAGCTTTTCAAAATTGAATCTTGAACGCTGGTTATTTTCTTAATATATGTTAGTAATATAAACGAATCATATGTTTTACATTTTGTATTTAACTTTTGGGCAGGCTGTGTCGTGGTAATGCAAGTTTTTGGCGCCATGCTTTCCGTCGGGGTAGAGAGTGCCGGCGGTCACCGTAGTTGTTCTTTTTAAGTTTTGGAGAATATTTGTTTACCTGTTTGTGCTGTTCCTTGTAAAATATTATATTATAAGAGATATCTTTTAGAAACCATTGTTTTATTATAAATTTAAATATATATGAAAGTACTCATTAACTTTTATATATTTCAATTTTTTTAAATTTATTAATACCTAAGCAAATATAATTATTGTATGAGTTTAAAGAGAAAAATATATCTATATATTGCTAGTGTATTATTTTACTTAAGTTTATATACTGCTTCTCAACTATTTAAAAAAGTCTTAAGTTTTTAGCTATTAATCTGCGAAGCCTTGTCAACTTTATTGTTATAAATAATATATAATATTTTTAAATACAATTACTGCTTAGTTCTTTTATTTTATTTTTTTCTTGCTTTAACCTTTCATTCTCCCCGTTATTTATCATCTAATAAATAATTATACTTTATTATTAAATACTATTATATTATCTGCTTTTTGTAACGATCTGTTGCCCTTTTATTCCTATAAATTTTTATAGTCAATTTTTTTACATATATACGGTTCTAGTTGTATTTATTTTAAACTTTTTTTAGATCCTGAGACGCTTGTCTCCTATGAGAAGGTTCAGAATATTAAAGATTTTATAACATCCAGGGTTTCTGTTTCTTGTGAGATTGGTACTGTAAAGGAGTTTGTGTAGTTGCACATTATTTTTAATGTTTTTTGTAAGGGATTGTATGTGGCTCTGGATTATCTGCTCTTGCCGATGAAATTGAAGTTCCTTTGGTGCTTCCCTACTCAAGCATACCAGAGTTTCCTTTATCTACAAGTTTACTAGCTTTAAGCATATTTTATTATTTTAAATAAGCTATTATTTATATTCTATATATGTTATATATCCCTATGTTTTTATTTTTATTTTTTATTACAGTCCGAATTTTTTTACTAAAAAACATTAAAATAATTCGCTTTTTTTAATTTTTAATGTATAACTTTACTTTTTTCTTTTCTTATCTTTTTTCATTTTTAATACTTTTATAAAATATAATATATTTTCTTGATTGTAAAATAGTCGAAGGGCACAAGTCTCAGTTTGTATTCGGCAAAATTCGAGGCAAAGTAGTTGTATGCATGCAAGGACGCTTCCATTTTTATGAGGGGCATAGCATGGCTAATGTAATTTTTATTATTATTTTTTATAGTTTTTTTTTTTATAATAAAAGTAGAATGCTTATTCTGTTTTACTTCGTATGTGAATATAGTTATTTAATTATTATTATCATATGTTTTGTGGAGTTTTTTATTGCTTATATATTATTGCATTTTTTTTGTCTATCTTTTATTTTTGTTTTAGTATAATTATATATAATTATTATATAAATAAAATTAAGTTTAGTTATATTTTTTACTTTTCATATTTTTGTTATTTATAATAATACTTAAAATTATTTATTTTTTAAAAAATTTAAATTTTTATTAATGTTTTTTTTATATTAATACCGGGTTGGTGAGTAAAAACTTTGTTGACACATATTAACTTTGTTATGCTATTAATATTTATGTGTTATATATAATGTTTTCTAATATAACCTTTATAATTTTTATAACTATTTGTTTTTATTTATGTTTTATTCATTTTCTAATAAATATAGTTTAGTTATTGTTATTATAACTTTTTATTGTTTAATATTCATAGTAACTACTATTTTTACGTTTAGGCGACTATTGGGATCCGCGTGATGAAGGCTTTGGGCGTGAAGACGGTGATTATAACTAATGCTTCAGGAGGTTGTAAATTTAATATTATTACCGTTAGAAGACTTACTATGTGTGTTTAGAAAATTATATATATTATCGCTAATAAAAAATTTTTATTAATAACAGTAGTCTAACATAAAGTTATTAAAGTAAAGAAATATGTTTGAGTAAATTACCTGGTAGTCACTAACTAGCACGAGATTACTGTCATCCATGTGTTAATTCGGAACCAGAAATAAAACATTGGGAACATCGTGTGGATAGCACATGATGAGTTGTTAGGTAATATAGTTTGTAACAAAGTGGTTCGCAACTTTCTAAATACCAAATAATATTTTTTATATGTATGTTCTGTATTTATTTTATATGTGACATACTAAAGTTACTAATTTCAATTATTTTTATATAAATATAAATGATGTTTTTTGAATTGAGCTTCGGTATGTACTTTAATTTAAGTAGAACTTTTATACTTTAAATTTTGCATTTCCCCTTCGTTTGTATAGTATAATAATATATTTTTTCTGATTTAACTTTTTATGATAAAAATTAATATTTTAAAAGGTTTGAATCCAAACTTTAAAGGAGGTGATATCATGATTATTAACGATCACATAAATTTTCCTGGTCTCGCTGGGTTTAACCCTCTCAGAGGTCCCAACGATGAAAGGTTGATCGTTATTATTATTATTATTGTTATTACTATATATATATATATTTTACTCCTACTTTTATTATATTGTTATCCTTATTATTATTTTATTAATTAAATAGTCTACTTTTTTTTTTTTTAATTATATCTATACATTATATATTTATATGCAACTTTTTTAAATATATTTATATTTCAATTTTTTTTTATATTTTAAAGAAACTTATATTTATTAGATATTTTAAGGATAAATAGTTTTTTAGTATACATTTTATATATTTTTAAAGATTCGGAGTTCGTTTTCCTTCGGTTTCTGATTTGTATGATCCGTTACTTCACGTTTTAGTTAGAGAAGTTGCTAAGGAAGAGGGAGTCGAGGTTTTTTCTTCCATCATTTTTTTTTGTTTTCTTTTACATATACATATATATATATATTATTTGAGCTTTTCTATATTTCTAGTAATTTAACAATATTATTGTAATAGTAATATAAGTTTAAAAAGTTTTGCTCAGTTACTTTTTCTTTAGAGATAAATAACATTAATAAAAACTTAATGCCTTTTTTGTTTTTCTATACATTCAACATTCGTAATAAATAGTAATTATTGTAAATTTAAATATAGTAAGTAAATATTGAAACGAATAGTCTATTAAATTTTTATAAATATTAACTGTTAAATAAAATAAATTTTATTAGACTTTTTTGCTTTTTTATAAAAGTTTTAAGCCTCCTTTATCTCTATTATATAATAAAATTATTTATAAACTTTACTAACAATTTTTTATTTATAATTTAATGTTATGTACTTTAATTACAGTTAATTATATATATATTATAATAAACTTCTTTACTTTTTTATATAATTAATTTTTTATTAAAGAAATTATTGAACAAAACTTAAACTTTTTTATAATTTAACTAAAAAATTTACAATTTACTATTTTCTTTATGGTTTTTAATATTGTAAATAATAATATAAATAAAAAAATAAAATTATTTAACAAAAATTACATATAGATTTAATATATTTATATATACAAAAAATATTATTTTCAGGGCATTCAGGAGGGTACCTATTGTTTTGTGAGCGGACCATCTTATGAAACCCCTGCAGAGGTTTATAATATTTTTTGCTTTATTTATTTAAAAAGTTTTCTTAATAACCATAAAAATCTTAAAAAATTTTTTTAATATTTTTTATTTTGCTTATTTTCATTAAAGTAAAATAGTTAACTTTTTTTTTCCATTTAGTGGCGAATTATTTATAAATATTAAAAATACTAGTTTTTATATTTTTTATTTTAAAAAGTTTTTCACTTTTAGTGTGCTATGAACTCATTTAAAAAATTTACTGAATATTATTGATCTCTTTTTTTGAATGTTTTGCTAAATTTCGTTGTTTTACTTTTTATTAATAAACTTTTTTATAATATTCTTTTGCTTAATTATATATAAAGTTTTACTTAATAAATTTTTATCTAATTACCAAAATATACAAACTTTCATTATATATTATAAATATTATAATTTTAAATGTGGTAACTTTTTTTATTTTTATATTTATTTTCTTGAATTTCTTATTTTATATTTATTTTTTTAATTCTATTGATAAATATATTAAAACTTTTTTGGTAGTTTTTTATAATTACTTTATTATAAACTATTCTGATTTTAATAGTTATATAATATAAATAAGAACAAATTAAATATCGTTTCGGTTAATTATTATATCATTTTAATTTTTAGTAAACTTATTAAGTTTTATTACTTTTTAATTTATTATTTTTATAAATTTTGTTCAAAACTATAACCAATTTATTTTACTTTATATTTAATTGTATTATGAAGTTTGACTTATTTAATAAATTTATGAAGTCTATAATTATATTTATTGAAACTGTTTTATTTTATTATAACAGTAATATTTTTTTGTATAATGATCTGCAGTGCCATCTGCTACGTAAGCTGGGCGGGGACGCTGTAGGGATGAGCACCGTACCGGAGTGCATTGTGGCTCATCATTGCGGCATTAAAGTTATTGGCTTGTCTCTCGTTACTAACATGGTTGAGTTATATATATACTTTTTTTTTTTTGATTGTTCATTATATTAACGCTGCAGGTTACTTTTGAAAAGCACTCTGATTCGCACGTCAGCCATGAAGAAGTTTTAGCAACGGGCGTTGCCCGCGCGGAAGCTATGAAGACGCTGGTGTCTGGGCTTATAGGAAAACTATAACTTTTGTTACTAAGAATAAAAGTTAATTTTTTACTAATATTTTATTTAGGAGTATAAAAGCGTCTTTTGACATAAAGATAATTTAATTATTAAAGTAAATATAACTAATAAATTATAAAAAAATTTATATAACAAAAATAATATTCAAGGGCCGCCCTTTATCAAGGCTGGCGCTAATAAAAGCGCCCGCTGAGCAACATATTTGAGTATGAGTGGGATTTTTTCAATATTATTGAAGAATAGAACTAATAAAGTCTTAATAAAAATATATGCCATGTCATATGAAGTAATTTTTGTATACGGTGATTCTCTTTTACACAAATACGGTATTTTTATTGGAGGAAAAAATGATTTATTAATAGAATTTGAAAAAGTTAGCTCCTCGAATTGTTTAAAAATGTGATTTTAGCAGCGTAACGAGTATGCGTTGCCCAACTCAGACATGTGCAGTAGAGTTTTGAGAACGAGCAATTGATTTACGGTTCCCGTTAAAAACGGCATTTATACCTTCAGGGAAAAAATAAAAAATGTTTGAAAATGTGGGACCCACAATAAAAAGGTGCTCATCTAGGTGTCTGTGTCAATTAGATGGGCACATAATATAAAGCTCGTGGGTAGACAGGTGGTATATATACTACGCAGTAGGTGCACATGATTTGTTAGAGTTTAGTCCAACAAAAAGAAAGCGCTTTCTATCGAAAAGTAGTGAAGTACAACTTCTCTGAATAGGGTTTGCAAGTATATAACAACCAAAAAACTCTATTAATTATTATTTATTTATTGTACATTATACTATTTTTATATAAAAAACGCATACATACACTAAGAGGAATCTGGCACAGCTTCTTAGTAATTAGTAGCATACACGCCTCCCTACTGGTAGAATGTAATATCGTTGTGTAAAGATTTAGGCAAGGAGGGCCGATAGCGAGCTGCACTGTAGATCTTCACAGAAAAAGTGTCGCTTTTTTCTAACATCCAGTATCTTTATTTGGTTATACGGGTGTACGTTTTTTAGTAATACTAAGATATTTATACTTAAAAGCTCTTATATAGATCTTTATACTAGTAGATTTTATAATAATTATAAGTTTTATATAGCAACGAATGTAGCTGTTTGTACTCGCTTTTTTATTTTTTTTTTCCTTCTAGATGCTTTGGTATAGTAATTTTATTAATAAGCCAAAGCAATCAACTTGTTAAAAAACTCATTGACTACTTCTATATTTTTTTCTTCAATGCCGCGAAGGAACGCTTTAAACAAGCCGCTTCTATTGTACATAAAAATAACAAAAACTAGTGAAAGTAATAGAAATTATATTTTTATTATTTATAAGAATAATTCTTTCATAAAGTTTTAAAAAATAGAGAAAAACATTTAAAGCAGTGCAAAAATGGATGTTAGGAGAAACGTTGCAAAGATAAAAATCACTAAAATGAAAATTGACCAAAATTTCTAAAAATTTACTGAAACGTATTATGCTTTAGTTATACTTATTATATTGTAATTAGGGTATATTATAAAAATATAGGAAATAAAGTTTATTTATTATATAACAAAAATAATAAAAAAAAAGGAGAAATAATAATTCTGATAGAAGAATAAATAAAATAAAAAAAATCATAAAAATAGGAGAATATTTTGTGCGTAATACATAATTTTATTTGTGTATAATTTATAACTTTATAATAAAAAAATATATATATCTATATTATAATTAATGAAGGAATTTACAGATAATAAAACAAATAACCTTTATATATAAAATAATGTTTTTTTTTTTTCAATAAAAAAATTGTAATACATAAAAGTTATAAGAAATTTTTTAACATAAACTATCACTAATTTTCTATAATATTTAGAATACCTTGGATATTTATTGGTAAGCAACTTTTTCTCGAGCTCAGCTGCTTTTTTTTGAGCGCTAATGAAAAAAGTTATTAATAATAATTCATCAGTGAAAATGGAAATAATAAAACTTTTGAACAACTGCAAAAGGAATTCCCGCCATTTTAGCCACGTTGAGCCCGTAACTGTTGGGGCACTCGCCTTCAGTTTATAAAATAAATTCATTAAATTCACTGTTCTTCGTTATAAAAATTGCAAAATAGAAACCTTTTTCAAGTTTATAAAGAAAAGTAACTTCATTTCTATTTTTCATTAAAATTTATAATAAAAATCTTATTAGAGCGAAAATATATTTACAATTATAATAATGAATATAAGTTTTTAAAGATAACAGAATTGTTTTTATAAAAATAAAATGACACCCAAATTTGCAAGTAAAAAATAAATAATTGTAAAATATTTTAACGAGATTTATACAAAATTTGTGCATATAATAGTGATATATATAATAAATACTTCGCATAATGTTCACTAAATAAAAAATATATAGTTATGAATAAGTATTTTTAATATATCAATATGTGATAATATATAATCAAGTTGTTACGTATAAAGTTTGCTTTTTATAAAATAATAAATATTATAATTAACTTTATTTTAACAATAATAATGTGAATAATATACAAAAAAAAAATAAGAAACATCATATACTCAATTAAGAAGTAATTAAACTTATTAAAGTATATATAAACTTTCCAATTAAAATAAACTTAACAGAAAAAAAGACCACTATTGTTTACGTATATGTAATTAATAATAAATAAAAACTTTTATCTGGAAGATTTTAGTAATAAACAAATATATGAAATAATAATAACACTAAAAATATTGATACGTTAAAAAAAATGCTAAAAATATTATCATTTATACTATTTATATATAAAACTTTAGAAGCATTCTTTCTGTTTTACGTAATATTCATTAAAATAAAAATAATACTTCACTGGATCAACTGAGCAGGCCATGTGGTTGAGCATGACATTTTTATTTTCAGTAAACTCCTCGCATAAAAGGTGATAATGAGTGGAAAATAAAGTAATGCACCGGACGCGTGCGGCAAGATACTCCATAACCGAATAGGCAAGTGCATAACTATAATAATAGTGAGCAGCTTAAATAAGTATAATAGAAATGTACTTTCAATAAAAATAGAAAAGTATTATTCGTAATTATTATTAAAAGCAACCCGTCGTGAGTGCTCGTGCCCCTTCCAAGTTCGTCTAGTATTATCAATGATCGTTTGGAAGCATTGTTTAAAATATTAGCTGTCAATAATAATAATAATAATAATAGTTATAATTATAATAATAGTAATAATAATAATCAACCGGTTTCCTCAAGCTCAACCATAAAAGTAGAACGTCCAGCAATAATATTATCGTTAGCGCCAAGTCTCGTAAATATTCTATCGACTGGTGTAAAGCTAAAAAGTTGTCATAATAATAATGACCGGTACATATTATATATAAAAGTATAAAGAAACGAATCTACATAAATATTTAGACCGAAATGATTCCGCAGGAACAAAACAACCAATCTGAGCTAGGATAACAGCAAGACAAGTCTAATGCAAGAAGTCGTGATCAGCGGAAATAAATGTAAATAATTGACGAATCTCAGCTAAAAAAACACCAAGGCACGACCTGCCGAAGGAAAGTGCTCTTTCCTCCCATGTTGGGACCCGTAAGGATCATTGCATTAGGATGCTGTTCCTCTCCAAAAACGGCATTGTTGGGGATATAATCAATATTTTTACTGAACAATAAAAAGATAAAGTTCAGCAAATTCTTTATATTAAAACTTTTACCCCTAAAAAAAATGAGATCCACCAATAAAATAACGGCTTACCAGAGGCATGGGTGGCGCATATTTTTTAATGATAAAAGCGGTTCAGCGCGATAAAAAGGTTGAGGACGACACGTGGGCTCTAATTTATTAATATATTATGCTAAGCACGAGGCTATATGTATGTATCATAAATAATTATTAAAATTATGCGCACGTAAAATAAAGCAACCAATAAAATAAAACGAAGTAATATAAAAAAAACTCCTACAAAATAATAAAATTGTCATATTAACGATTTAAAGGTAAAAAATATGTACCACAACATGTCAATGGGCACTAAAAGCGCCAATCAGTTTTTATAAATTACTTACCTTCGAAGCTCAGAGTTGCTCTATACAAACTTTGTAGGCAGTCGAATTCCGAAACGCACACAAGAAACTCTTTCCAAAGCTTATCGTGCTCATTAAATTTTCGTACTACATTCTCATAAGCCTATCAGATTTAAGTTCAACTAAAATAAATAAGTAATAATATTTATAATAGTAATAACAAACATTTATAGAAGAACGCTCAAAAGTCTCGTTGAGTTCTAAATAGGGAGTAATAAGCTTTTGTATTTTTGGTGACCAGTAACGGCGAAATTTCTATACAAAAAATTAATAAACTGATATATAAATATAAAATGAAAATATAATAAGGAATTTTATGCAACATTTATTATGATAATCATAATGAAAATTATCATTTAACAATATTATTGATTATAGAAGTATATATATAGAACTTTGGTTTCTGATTTTAATATGAAACCCTTCGGAACTTTTACTGTAGACTTTACTTCCAACTGGAAGGGTTCCTTGCCGAGCGCTCGAAACGTGATGGTGGGCTCCCTGCATGTATAGTTCTTATAAGTATATATAGAACTGCTAGCTATTTACTATAAAGGTGTTTTTTTTAATGTTAATTAGTCACGTGCACTGCACGAGTGGTTAAAAGAAAGCCCCTATAAATATATTATAAACCGCTAAGGTAGTACAACTTTTATATAAATATTATTGTATACAAGTACATGCTTTTGCTACGTATATTAAGTAAAGCTTTTATTATACATATAAAAACCAGTAGAGTACATTTAGTTATAATCAAAGAGCTTTATTATTATTAGCAAAACTTTATTATTATATATAAACTACTAAATTTTATTACTGTTCATTATTTTATAATATATAAATAATTTATTAGTGTTGTGCATTATTATAAATGCATATAATACTATTACATGCTGATAAGTGCGCAATTGCGAATTCTAAAATGCAATGCTCTTATATAAATAATAAATATATAAACCAGTAAAATTTATTATATTTATTTTACAATGTGCGTCTTTTTATAAGAAAGAAAAAGTCTATATTATATTGTACAGAACAAAAAAATTTACTTTAATAACTTCTTAACCTCTTCAAGTTCAACATAAAACTTTTCTTCAAATAGTAAAAGATCTTCTTTTATTGTATCGTAATTGCTGTCTTTATTACAAATATAATTATATGAATAAGTTTTTTTACTAAATATAAATTTGAAGACTCCAGTACTGTTGAACTATTTACAATACAAACCAGCAAAAATGTATTTTTGTTAGTGTAGTAACACTACGAAATTGATCCAATCACTAACGCCCGCTTGTATGGCTGGTGAATTTATAAGCCTATAACTAAGCTCCAATGCAAGGAGTTGTTTACTTTCTTAACTATATTCCTTAAAAAGTATAGTAAATACTTATATATTTATAATGCTTATAAAATTAGTTTAGCTCACTTTCAAAAATGTTTTCTTCTATGAAGATTTGTATAATTTTCCGATAATAGTCGTATAAACTATTTTTATTTATATTGCGGTAATAAATGTACATTTGTTTTTATATTAAGCTTTCTTTTAATTAAACTACTTACAGTTATTTATTTATTAACTAAAAAGTTCTAGTTACTATAAAATAATATTTTTTTTATGTCTATAAAAATATAATAAGTAAGAAAGTATAAGGCTCCTAAAAACTGTAGTACTAACAAACCAACGCTGCCGAGGGCAAAATAGTATAACCAAATTATATCGAACACATGTTTCTCACTTAGTTTTCTAAATGGTCAATTATTGTAACTTTCATTGATAAATCGTCACCTTATTATAATTTTAGTTGCAATTTGCTTATCATTCTATAGTAACAGTAATTGGTTGTTTTAAAAAAGTCTAAATAGCCAATTTCTGTTTTGTAGAACATAAATTTCAATGATTGAGCGTCACGAGACTAGAGAACACGTGAAAATTTGCGAAGTGGAGTACACAAAAGGGGATTGGAAGAGTTATGTCATTATAATTATTGAACATGCCAATCTTAAGCAGTCCAACTTCCTGTAAAAGAGATTCTGAAAATCCCAAATGGTTTTTTATTATGAACTCCACTAATAATTACTATAAAGTTTGTATAAGAAAGTTACTTAATATGGACACATTTTAAAGTATTATTCATTATAACTGTAACTATAATTATTCATTATTATTATATAAAAAATAAATACCGAAGCCTTTCGAGGGGACGAACTTCTCTTCTCGGACAGAAGCCTCTTCAATGTACGTAGAAGAAAAGTACTCAACGAGAGAAGCAATGTTGGGGAAAAGGCCTTCTGCTTCATTAAGTATAAAGAAAATTAATAAATAACTTATAAATTGTTATTGGTCTCTTTATTAATAAAATAATATAATTGGTGGCTTATTCGCTAAGTAAGGCTAAAATAGTAAGTTCCAACCACGTGGTAGAATAATAGTTATCATGTTTCCTTTATTTTTTTACTAGACTTTATAATAATAAAATATTACAATTATCATCGCAATGAATTCCACAAACTTGCCGAAGAAGTTTAGACTTTAACTGAGTAACGATTGTCTGAACAGACTCAACTTCTTTCTAAGTTTCAAGTATATTCAGTGAATATCAATTACAAAAGATATAAATAAGTAGGATATAAAAAATAAAAACCAACAATATACTAATATAATGAAGTTATCATAATAAGTTAATAAACTAATAAAAAGATATTTGATAAAAATATAATATTTCTTTAGTTAAAAAAAATGTTAAATGTCAAAATAAAACTTTTTCTTACAGTAAAAGTTAAAAGTATATTACTATAAATAATAAACTTCAAAGACAACCAATAGCTTAACGAGAAAATTAACTTTTATTTAACTGCTATTTATCTAACAAAAAAATCGGCCAATGAAGTGTGGTGAAATGCACATGTTTAGTGTACACACCCAACAAAAAAACGACCGATAAAATTTATTTAAACTTTTTAAATTAAGTTCAAGTTTAACAACCAATAAACTAGAAAAATAAAAACAAAATATTACAGCAAAATAACTATTTATATAAAAAATCAGTAAAAGTTGTATAAAATTCACGTGTGATGTGTAATTCAGTATTAATAAATAAAATGTTATTCACCAAAAATAATACAGTTGAAAAATATTATCAACTACAGGGATATACTACGAAAAAACCAGAAACGATTAACAAAAAAATTCATTATATATTTGTAATTACATAATTTTCAAGGCGCCAACAAATATTGCTTAAAAGAAATTATATAATATTATTAGATATAATATTGTTCTGCACTACAAATTAGGAAAGAAGACGATCGAGTAAAGCAAAAAATAATATTTGTTGATACTAACACAACAATAGACCAAGAATAGATAATTGTTAATTACATAAATACATATATAATAAAATTATTTTTTACCACAACTAAAAAGATAAAAAATACGACCAATAGAAGGAGGTATGTGCAAACAGCCATTTTTTTAAAAAAATATATTTATCTATGGTAACATGAATATTAATGAAATAACAAAAACTACATTAATAAAATAATATTTGCCCAAGGTTTTATAAAAAATAAAATGAATTTTCCACCATTCCGCTGCAACTATAATACCACCAATAAAAAGCAATATTAAGCTATTTATTCACATTACCATAAATTATTATGAACCAACAAAAATAATATTAAAAAATATTTACCACTACTAAACGCAAGGAATGCATTAGCATAAAAAAGTCGCTCAATTTGCACGAAAAGTTCCGCATTTTCGAAAATAAACGTTCAAAATCGCAAACTTCTTCCAGTTTTAAGCCTAAAAAAAATTATTATTAGTACTATTATAAAATTTCAGTAACTTTTTATGAACATAAAATTATAATGTTTAATAAATTCTTATGTTTATTAATTATATTTATAAGAAATTTATTATTATTTAGTAATAATAAAGAATATATACATTTTAAAACTACTTTTTACTAAAACTATTAATCTTTACTTCAGTTTGATTTCACTCCAATAATAAAAAGATTAAAAAAAGAGAATTTATTTCTTTGTAGTTATTTATAAATATTTTTTATATAAATATGGTTCGCATAGTTGAGAAACCTTACTTTTTATATTAATAAAAATTTATTATTCTTATATATGGAAAGAAAAATATTGTTAAAGATTATATATTTTATTATTGAATCATATTTATTTTTATTTAGTATATTAATATTTATTTTATATTTATTATTACAACTATCAAGCAAGCCTCGCTGAAAATCTTCAACAGCATCGTATCGGTCATTCATTGCTTCAATACTCAAAAGCGGGTGAGTCAGCCATTTTTTAAATAACCGCTTTCCTAATAGAACCAAACACATGACGAATAAGTAATCTATAGGTACGGAAAGTTTAGTATAACCTGAAAAATATTATACTTATAGATGTATTATAACGTTTTTACATATATAAAGCGATTATTATATAATGCAACGTAATAATAGTAATAATAACAATAATAATAAACCAAAAGAAGTCTGGCAATGACTGAGTAACTCTAACAAAGTTCCAGAGTTGCTCATATCCGCTGAGTTATGCAAAATGTCCAAATTATGCAAGCACTGCGAGTCCTACAAAATGGACCAATAAAGACTTTATAATAGAGACTTAACTAGATTTCATTGGGCCAAATGTAACGCACAAGCAACATGGTTTTTCCATGGCTCAAAGGATTATAGTGTTTGAAAACGGCGGAGGGGAGAAGTTCGCTGGCTATGCGAAGCTGATAAGCATAATAATATAAAAATTTATATAAAGAATAAAGAATATTTTAAAAAAATTGAAAAAAAAATTATAATATAATATTTACACTTTCATAAGATAAATAATACACAAGAAATATTGAAACTGCTGAGAGCCTCTAAAATTATCAATATTGAAATTATATTTATTAATATTACTATTAATATTATAATTATTATGGGATATGTGATATATACTTTTTTCTAGAAAATAGGTACACATGTTGACACAAACAAGTTATTAATATAAAACAGTTCTATAAAATAGTAAAATATAAAAAAATTCAATAAGAATTATAATAATTGAAAAAATATAAAACACTTTTAACAAAAATTTGCCAATTTTTTAAGGAATAAATTTTTTTTTGGATAAGTTTATTTATAATAAAAAAAAGATAATATAAGTAAATTTTTCTTTACTTTTTCAAAATAGTAAAGCAAAGCACCCAACGAAGAGAGCACCAACTCATCGTTAATATACTTTTCGAGGGGCTGAAAACAAAAAATAATATAATAAGAAAAGTATAGAATAGTAGATAAAAATATAAATATAAATAGAATATAATAAGCAAACTTTCGGCAGAAAAGAATATTCTTCAACTTTTTCAAGGCTATTTTCTATAATAATAAATAATAATTGTAAAAGTAAAAAAATAATATATTATTATTATTACCGCCAGTGAGAAAATTAATAATATTAAGGAAAAATTAGATAATATTATATATTTTATAATAACAAAAATATATAATACCTAAAATTTTTTACATTAATATCACTTATTATTTAAAAAATTAAAATAATAAACAAAAAAGATATACATATTAACAAGAACATGTAAATAATAAATATATATAAAATTCATAAATGGTAATATAAATAATAAAAGGAAATTAAGATAAACTCAAAAATAATAAAAATTTAAATAATCAAAAAATGATATTAAATTTCTTAAAAAAAGTATATAAAATATTTTTTACATAATAATAATAATTATTAAAATATTTTTTAAATTTTTAGTTTTAGTAAAAAGAATTTCAATTTTTTTTAATAAATAAAAAAGTATATAAAAAATTTTTATGCTTAATATATATATATATTATATAAAACCGTTAATAATAATAATTTCTAAATAATACTTTACAAATAATAGAAATAATATATTCATATAATAATATAACAATTATTAGTATATAAACTTTTAAATAATATAAAAATAATAAAAAAGCCAGAAATTTTAACTATAACACTATATAATAATTTATAACAAATATAATTAAAACCTAAACTAAGTAAGTTTGTAATAAAAAAAGTAGAATAGTTTATAAATATCATAATATTATAAGAAATATATTAAAAATAAACTAATTTATATAGTAAATATTATATATTGGGAATGTTTTTTTGTTAGATATTTTTAAACTGATTATTACTATTAATATCATTAATAATTTAGAAATAATATAATATAAATATAATAATTTATTTAATAAATATTTTTTACGATTTACACTATATTTTTTATTAGTTATGGATTTATTAATTATTTAGTTAATATAAAGGAAAGTAGTTACGTATAATATATATAACAAAATTTCATATCAAAAATAATATATATTTGAATGATTTATAAGAAAAAAATTAAAAAATATATTTTTTAAAAAATAAAAAAAATATTATTACAAAAACCAAAGTATATAAAATTAATAATAGTACTATTAAACGAAGATCAATAAAAATTATTTTTCTTATCTAAAAAAAAAAATAAAATAGTTAATATTTTATTATATATATATATAACTATAATAGAAAATATAAATAAAATTTTTTTTTATAAAGTTATAAGGTATATAAAAATAATAAATTTAAACAAATTATTATTAATACTTTTTAATTATAATAATAAATAAAGTATAAAATCGTATAATAAAAAACATATAAATAAATCAATAAAGTAAAAAAAAATATAAAAAAAGTTCATTACTAATCTTTTATTAACTATTATATTAATTTTTATATAAACTTTTGATATATTATACTTTTATTTATTTTTTTAACTGGTATTCTATTTTTTCTTTTTGAATTTCAGTTATTATTTTGGTATTTACTATATAATATAAAAAATTTATATATTTCACATTTGAACGACATATAAAAGTATTACTGTAATATTAAATATTGATTTAGATATTTACTTACTATTACAAATATTTTTCTTTAAAAAAAAGTTTGTTAATGATGACTATTTAAATCTCTATTAAAAAATTTTATTATTTGCTTATTTTTAATATATTTTTAATTTTTATTTTTAAAATTTTATTAGAAATAATATGAAATAAAAGCAAAAGATTAAAATTATTTTAAAAATTTAACAATTTTTTGATATTTAGTAAAAAATTTAAAATTTTCTTTATAATATTATATTTCTTATATGTATGATTTAATAGCATTTCAGTAAAAAAAAATAAAAAGTATAAAAAAAAATATTAAACTTTTTATATTTATTTTCATAAATTTTAATACAATGAGAAAATTTCATTAAGCTTGAGTAAAAAAATATAAAAAAACATTTTATTTTTTTTTAAAACTGTTAGATAAAAAAAAAACTTTTAATTAACATAATAAAATTTTATGTTAAATAATAATTAATTGCAGAAGTATATTTTCAATAGAAAAATATTATATATATTATAAATAATATAAATTTTAAATTTATATAAATTTAATAATAAAAAGGTAATCAACATTGCAATTAATTTTTTATAAAATAAAATAAAATAACGAAAAATTAATGTAAAGTCCAAAAATAATGAAAGAAAAATAAATTTATATAAATAAAAAAAAATTTTTATATGAACATGTTATGAATAATAATACAATATCAATTTATTATATATTACTGTAATTCAATTTTATGAAGTAAAACGATAAAAGATGCATTATATACAACGGAAAGGTGATATAATAAATAATAATATAAAGTAAATTTATTTATACAACAAAAATAATACACAATAAATTTATTAAAATTATTTAAAACTCAATTTTACTTTAATTAATACATCACCCAAAATTTATGATATTTATGAAGTTTAAAAGTAATTAATAAGCTTTCTAAAAGAAATATATAACCTATAATAATAATAATTAGAATATTATAAGAAAAGACTTAATATACTTATAAAACATTAACTATTTATATTTAATAAAATATTAATTTTCATAATTATTATTTATTACTATTATTGTTTTCCTTCAAATTATTTTAATAAAAATCTATTAAAAAATATAAAACAATCTTTATTTATATTGCTTTTGGTGATTATTTACTTCTTATTATTAATATTCTCAGTATTAATAAAAATATTTTAATATATTATTTTATTATTGGATATGCGTCGGTTATAAAATTCTTATCAATAAAATTATATATTTATAGCGAGTTTTAAATTTCTAGAAGGTTAAAAAATATTTGTTTTAGTAATAATATTGTTAATTTAATACTTTCTATTATTATAATATTTTCAAAATAAGTGTTATCATTTATTTTTTTAACTGTAAAAAAATTCCATTACCAAAATAATTTTTATATTTCAATAAATCTAATGCGGAGTCCCGCCCTAAAAATTCTGTCCTTGAAAGTAACTATAAAATTAAAATAAAATATCATCCTATAGAAGAGAAGATCTACATTTATAAGACATAATGAATGAAGTAACCAATAGAATGTCAGCTTAAAAAAACAAAACATTTAAAATTAAATTAATTATTCAATGTTCAATTGTATAAACGGACCAATAATAGATTGAATAGCGTAATTCTACAAAAAATTGTTTCACACTGCCCAATAGAATTTATATAAAAACTAAATAACAATTAACCAATAAAATCATCTTTTAAACCTACAAAAAGTGAAATGAAATGTGCCATTGGAGGACTAAAAATATGTCGATAATTAAACATCAAACTTTAATTATTAACCAATAAAAGATAAATATAAATCCTTTATTATAGTAAGATATTACAATGTAAGAGAAAATACTTAAATAAAATTTAACCAATAGACGGTAAAATAAAGAGAACCTTATTCACGACAGGATTGCTCAAGTAATTCTTTATAGTTTTTAGCGTCTCGCTGGAAAAACAGCCCTAAAACATAAAAAGTGTTAACGTTGGTAGTTTTTACAACTAAAAACTCCACAGAATTCATATAAATAATAAATTTTATAGTATATTTCAAATATCTAAAGGAAACAATAATTTTAAAAAAGTATGTAATATATATAAATAAAAAAATTGATAATTATAAAATTATAATTAAAAACTAATAAATATTTAAAAATTAAAAAAGTTTCATTTTTTTTCCAGCACAAATTTTATTTCAACGTTAAAAATTCGCCAATTATAACGTCCATCGAGCTTAACTTTTTCAAGTAATAACTCACGTGGCTTTATTTGCATAAAAATGGTCTTCAAAAAAGTGCGATTTGAGTCTTCACTTAACGATAATATTTACCAAATTAATTATTGGATACACCTAAATAAAAGTACGTAAATTTCGTGATAAAAAACTCTCCAGTAGAGCAGTCAGCAAAAACGATGCCGTAATTCATATTATCTTCCTAATATAAAAAATACTTAAAAGTTTTTCAATAAATAAGCCACAAAAAAGTAAAAGTTATTTTTCGCTATATATAATAAAACTTTTTTATAATAATAAAAAGCTAATAATACTTATATGTGATTTTTATTACATTTCCATTTTTTTTTTACGGTACAATTTTACCAAGTTTTATTTTTAAATCACATGCAAGCTTGCTTAGTCCGACGAACCAAGGACTTCCTTATTAACTTATATCGATCTTAGTCCACCAATGCAAGCATCGCTGAAAGTAATTGGATAAAGAAACTTATTGTACAACACAGTTAGCCAATAAAAATTATATTCATTTCAATTATATTTATATCATTAAACTTATTTTTTGGATAAATTCCTTAATTTTCTTTCAAAGCAAACTACTAACTTTATTTAATAATGAATTTCTTTTTTATACAAATACGTAAACAGCTCTCATTGGCTTATCTTTACTACAGTAAATAACTTTACTACCTTTTTACTGATTAGATTTATTAAAAAAGTATTCGACCTATATTGGTTTAACAACCTATGCTACAGTGAAGACGGCAGACGAGTGACCCATATTATTATAATCCGTAATATCAATATTATTATTGTTATATAAAAATTGCAAGTGTAAGTGACCAATTACATGATTAGTAGAAAATTTTAATGAAACTATTCCATATTCAATGTATGACTGGTTAAAAGTATCCAATAATATACAACTAAACATTCAATGAAACTATTTTAAAAAAATCACGTAATCTCATAGTTTAATAGCATTACCTTTATAGACATAATGTAAGTAGACATTTCGTCGACCACCATATCGCCCAATAGCGTGCCGGCTGTTATAATACACTTCAGTTCCCGGTTAATGACCTAATCGAAAAGTAATAATAAAAATATAGTTTTACAAGAATATTATATTATAATTATTTAATAAAAAATAATATAAACATATATAAAAAACTAAAGAAAAAAGTTTCCCTCATAAAAAAAATAACATAACTGATATAAAAGTAAAAAGGTATAATTCTATGATATCAAAAATAAATATAACTTACTAATATATATTAAGTGTATAAGAAAACTTTTATATTATTTATTACAAATAAAAAATAAAAATAATTAATAAATATTAATAATTCTAAATAAAAAAAATTAATAAAAATATAAAAAGTAAAAGTAAACAGAAAATTATAAATAAATAAAATGTTGTATAATATATACTTATTAAAGTTTATATAAATTATAATATAGTTTTCTTAATAATATTATAGAAATATATATAAAAAATTGTAAAAATGTAAAAAATAAAATATTTATTGGTACATAAAATTATTAATATAAAAAATAATAAACAATAATAATAAAAATATAATTCGAGGGTAAAAAATGCATAAAAGAAGACATAAAAAGAAGAGAAAGTAAATATTTAATGATAAATAATAAACAAACTTTAAAAAAGAAGCAAAAAAAAATTATATATAAAAAATATTAAAATTGTTATAAAAAGAAAACTTTTATAACACCAACTATTAATATTAAAAAAAAATTGATACAAGATTGGCAACAAAAATAATAATTACTTTGCAAGCAAAGACGAATAATAAAAAAACTGCAACAAATGTAATGAAAATTACTTCTGAGACAAAAAAAAATTTTTTATAGACTTTTTATACTTTTCTTAATAAAAAAACATATTAATAAAGTAAACGAGCCAATAAAAACACATAATATATTTAGTATAATTGCAACAAAAATAATAACAATCAGTCTACACAAAAATAATGAAGCAAAATAGTAAAGCCAATAAAAAGCCGATAAAGGTTACAACAAAAATAATGAAAAAAAAAATTTAATAAAAAACAACAAACTTTTTCTTTTGATTTAATATTTTGTTCTTTCTCTCGCATACTTTTCTGCAAACCGCTTTCCATTTCGTTCTACTTTGGCTACTTTGTAGCTTTTTATATATAATAATTTATAAAAGGAATTTTTCATATTCAATACTTTTTTATTACCAGTATATTTTACTATATTTATTTTTTTTATTTTACCATCTATTGCCATTATATTTTTTACTTTTGAAAAATTTATTATTTATTATACTCCCTAATTTTGTTAACCTTTAGTTTTATATTTTTACTATTTTTTTCATACAGGAAGTTTTATTCTTAAAAAAAGAAATAAAAGTTAAAATAAATATAACTACTTCATAATAAATAACAAAAGTAATACATAAAAATAAAAAAGTTTATAAAGTAAGTAGAAATATATACAAAATATATATAAAAATATAAAACGACAGAAAAAGTAATTAAAAATGAGGATTTTTAGATATAACATTAAGCTAGAAGTTTCATGATATCAGTATATAAAATTTATTAAATAGAAAAGAAAATAACTAGTGATTGGCCTACTGGTTATAAGAAAGGTTTTCGGTTAGCTAATAATAAATAATAGCCACTAGCCATACATAACCACAAAAAATACGGGTAATTGGCTAATTGTTTTGATTAAATTTCTTTAGTGGTTCATTATTCTTATTTAAGCCAATTGCAGGTAACAAAACCAAAAAGTTGTCTTATAGTTATTCGGCATATGCTATTAATTAATTGTTTAAAATAAAACTTCTGTTTTGCTTATAATAGACTAAAACTCAACATCAATTTGTCAATTATGTAGACCAGTAAACAAAGTTCAAAAAAATAAAAACATACAACTGGCTAGTTTTCTACATATGACATTTTAATTAGTTGATTTTTTTAAAAAATTAACAAAAACACCAATAAATTTTGTTCTACCAGAAAAAAAACAGATTATTGGTTATTTAGTAAAATGGAAATTGTTAATTAGTTCAATATAAATATAAAGTCAGTTACCCCAAGCCAATAAACTTTGAGGCCCACGGGACAAAAGTTTTTTCAGGAACGCCCACCTTTAATAATAAATCAATAAATAACTCAAGATCCATAAATATAATGAAAATAATAAAATGATAATTAAAAAAATTCATGCTTTTAAAACATTCATATTTTATATAATCTTTTTTATGAAGTACATATTGTTTTAGTATTATTAACATTGTTATCATTATTATAATAAACTCCACCATTTTCATATTAACTCTTTCAGTCAACTTTAAATCAAACTCCTTCTGTCCAATCTCTGCGTCTTTTTCATAAAGTTCATAAAACTTTCCTAAAATCGTAATGATTGGAAGCATTAAAAATAATGAATACTAAAAGTTATAATAGTGCAAGTAATATAGTGAATTCCGATAAAAGGATTTATGGTACAATATAAAAGGATATCAAATAAATATTAATTGCGCTTAAAGAGAAAAGCGTGATACTACATTGAAATAAAATATTGAAGAAAAAGTCTTTTTTATATAATTTAAATAAATTTTAAAAACTTTCTAGTTCTTGCTTATGGCTGATCTTTTTTTAATATAAAAAAACTTTTCATTAAAAAAGTTGACATGCTTTTAAAAATAAGCCTCTAAAAAAGCCCCTTTTTTCACAGTTTTTATTGCTAACAAAAAGTTGACGTTTTTTGTTTCTCTTGGGAACCATTATTTTTTATTACCTTCTTAAAGTTTTTTTATAAAATATATAAAGTTCTGCCAAGCAGGAACCAATTATTATAATAATTTTTACTTCAGAATAAAAAAGGTTTAATATTAACGAAACTAACCAATAACAAATTCAAAAAATTATACTTTCTCTTTAAAATGATCGATATAAATTTCAATAAATATATTCGATTAATTTAATAAGCAAACCAGCAATAATTAAATTCATTAAAGTTTTACTTTTCCTATATAAAAACTAGGAACCACATTATTTTATTAGACTTTTTTTACATAATTTTTACTCTTAATAAACAAAAAGTTACTTATAATATCTTTTGTGTAATGAAATTCATTACTTATACTTTCACGTAATGAAAATAAATGCCATATTTACATCTTTACTTTTGAAAAATAAAAGATTCATTATAAATATCATAATAAAATTCATTTTTATTTATATACTTTTTATATGAGAGTCCAGCATATGTATTTTCTTGCAAGTCGTTTATAAAAAAGCATTAAAAAATAAATGAAATAATAATTTAATAATAAATTTACCATTATTATAAGTACTTTTTGAAAGACTTTTCTAAGCAACTCGTTAATAAAAATTCATTATTAATATTACTTGCATTATAAAAAACTAACTAAAGTAATAAAATTCATAATTATTTAACTTTTCTGAAATGTATATCATATGCAACTCGTAATTAAAAATTCATTATTATTACTTTTATTAAAAAAAAAAAATTGTATTAAAATATTAATAATGTCGCAAAATTCATAATTAGTAGTTTTTTCCTGATGTATTGTTCATTATCATTTATACTTTCATTATAAAAAAAGTAGATTATAATATATAGTAATCCATTTATATAAATATTCATTAATCTTTTTGAATATTCTAAGAAAATTTGTTTGTTATGAATTTAAAAAAATAACGCTAATAACTTCATTTTTGTTAGATAAAAAAAGTTTAGTGCATTTATTTAGTCTGCAAGCTTTAATAAAATATCTACTAACTCACTATTGGGCCTTTATATAAACCAATAATCTTTCTTAATTAACTTATAAAATTTTTTCACGGTTTTCCAACTTTCGCAGCAAACAAAAACTTGTTCAAAAAAAAGCAAAAAGCTTTACTTTTTACTGTTTTTATAAAAATTATAATAACTAAGTATAACTACTTTTTATTATTACAATAATAATCTATACTATATATAAAAAGTTGAGTATAGTTTTCTTAATATGATAATCATAAAAGTGTTATTATACTAAATAATGAAATAAGCAAAAAAATATTCAAAAATTATGAATGAAACTTTGCGATAGTAAGAAAAGTACAGCGAATAATTATACTAATAAAAAAATATATAAAGATTATTAATTAAACTTTCTATAAAATTAATATATAACATGCTTAATGCCACAAGTTTTATAATAATAATAGAGTTTGACATAAGATTTAAAAAACGGAAAAAAAAATATTTTTACTATAATAAAATATATATAATAAGCAAAACTTGATAATGGATAATAACATTGATAAGAAAAGCGCACTACAAAAATAATAAAAATAATATAATAATAATTTTTATAATAAACCTTTTTTAAAGAAAACTATTGTATCCCAATTATCCTTTTTAATCTAATTTATAATTAATATAAAAAAATAATTTATTACTTATTATTTACTTATAAAATTTCATATACGACTTTTTTACACAAAACAATTCATTAAAATTAACTTATAATTCAAAATTATATTTTTAATTTTTTTTTTTAAGTTATAAATTTATTATTTTATCTTCTGACTACAGACTTTTATATTATAATAAACCTTACTTTGCTTATTTTAAAAATACAATTACTTTTTTTAGTAGTAATAATTTATTATTACAGTTAATTGTTAGTTTATTTTTATTTAAGTAAAACTCAGATTTATTCTTATTACTATTATGCAATAACTTTCATAAACGTTATTGTATTACAATGTTTACTTTTCTCTCAAAAAATGCTTTATTGATTCAATACAAATTTAAATAAAAATATTTTTTATTCCCTTTATTAAGGTTTTATAACAAATCACGCACAAAAAGATTTACATCTAAAAAAAAATACTTAAATAAAATATAATATATCTGCTTGTAGTCAGTTTATTTACATGAAATTTAATTTTTAACTTAATATTTTTTTTGTAAAAGTTCTCATAAAAAATTTAAAATTAATATTATTTTAAATTTGTATATAATTCAAAGATTAACTCTTTTATTAAGGTAAAGTTGGACTAATACTAAATCTTGATAATCTAATTAAAAAACTAAATAAAATTAGTTTTTTTACTATAACTGTATTAATAATTATTTTTATAATATTTTTTTAACTTACTTATTTTTAATTAAAAAAAATTTTAAATTATTTATAAATTGTAACAACCTCCCAATACTGTCGCTCAAAACTTGTAAATTTACTCCAAGCTTGCGAGGGAATGTACAACGTGGTGGGATCATAGCCTTCATCTATTAAAAATTACAACACCTTATTATAAGTTTATTCGTAAAAAACAATTTTTAAATTATATAAAAAGTTAAAGAAATTAGAAAAACTTTCGCTAATTCCTAATAAAATTTAATTTAATTAACTATAACTAAAACTTTTTCTTCTCTAAGGAAAATCCCTTAAATCGGCGTTATCGTATTCTTTTAATAAAAAAGTGTCGAATGGAAGATTTATACCTCGCAATGGGCGTAGAAAGAATTGACAAATTAAAAATTTACTCTATAATTTATTACTAACTTCCATAATGCTCAGTTAAAAAAAAAAGTAAAAAAAATTTCTAACATAAACGAAGAATTTAATTAGAAAAAATTAAGATTCCCAAAATATATTATTTTTATTTATAATAACTATCCTCTAAAACTTTTAGGTTACTTATGAATTTGAGGAAGTTGGTTAACGATTTCAAATAAAAAAATTTTAAAATTGTATATTTTATTAGAAGACAAAAAGGAACAACTCAAAATTGAGTATTTTTTAAAAAAAAAAAATTTAATTAAAAATAAATAATTATAAAATACCTAAGGGTCTCTTTTGATTTCGATCTTTAATATCAACAAGCCAAGAATACCTTTCAGTTGTCTGAGAAGACTTCAAAGATGGCTTGAAAGGAAAACTTTTATAACTGGACAGGGAGCCTTTGAAAAAATAATAAACCTAATCAAGTTCAAGCTAAAAAATTCAAAAAAAACGAAAAAGAAATCTACACTCAACTATATTAACTTCAAAATAATAACCAGTACTCAAATCTAATTTACACAGTGACTTTCTTTCATCCTTCTTATTAACAATGGCCTCGTCATATTTTAATTTCTTTGGATTGCGCTCCAGCACGGAAGTGAGAGTAGTTGCTTCTAACGATCAAATACTCTCAATGAACAATAAAGAAAATATTTATGATTGTACTTTATAGGGGAAAAAAATTACCAGGCAAAGAAGGTTGCGAAATTGGAGAGGAAAAGAAATTAAAAAGTGTTTGAGAAGATTTTATGGGTGTTGTCACTATTTTATGCATAATCTTTTAAAAAATAATAATAAGAGCACTTATACAAATTACTTTTATTATTTTATTGACTTAGTTTATATAAAATAAAGTACCCCTCTTGGGCTTTTTAGAAGAAGAGCCTAACATAAAAAACGGTAGTAACTTTATAAAAGTAAAGGTTGGTAATGTTTAACTTCGCCAAATAAAAGACTTTCTCTCCTCCCTCGCCACCACCAAAAGACGCCGCACGTGGCATCTACGACTTTCCTCTCTCTGGCAGTGACAAAACAAAAAGAAAAGTCTAAGACTGACTTTATTTTCCGGGGTTTCTTACATATTTATGGTTTTTATTTTTTAACAAATAATTTTTTTCCGAAATGGAGGGTTGGAATAATAAGGATTATTCTTAATTTTTTGAGAGGTTCAAAGCAGCAGTACATTGTCCTTTACTTGCAGCCTCATATTATATCTTAATAACAGAGAATTTAGAGAAAAGCTGTGCTTTTGATTGGAGGGTGATTTTGTAAATATGTCAGCCAAGTTGTATTCGGAAGATACGTGTTCAACAGAGGAGTTCTTCGTCAGTGATATATCCTTGACGTATGATAAGCAATATCAATACCTCGAACCTTCTTATTTGAGCGTATCCTTTTGGTATATCTTTTACAGCTTAATGTCAGGTAAATTTTTACTTCAATAATATAGTAACGATTCACTAATTGTACATTTTAACTATAGTTTTACAGCTTTGCGCAACGCAACGTACTCTGCTTTGTAAGAAAACTTGTTTATTTTGGATTTAAATACTTTTTGGGGACCACTGTATAGGGCATCCGTCCAGCAAAATTATATGACCTATTGTAGTTCTGTGGTTATAATTCCCAATCACAGTAGCGTTCAACTAGTATTGTTTTCTGAAATTTTTTGTATTTAAATAAAGATAGATTTTTCGTGTGAGGAAGATAGTTCTCAAGGCGAGTTTTATATGTTCCTCATTATTATAATGTAGAAATCAGCTTAGTAAAGAAGTTACATAGGAGAGGTCGGGTCTAGTGCTAGTTGCAATATTACGTAATGAACCCACTAAACTGTAGTAATGTTCGTTAGTACCTCCTTCTTTTGGGGCTTAAGTTTACAGTTGTTGGTAAAGGTGTCTTATATTTATATTTTAAATTCAAGGGATATTTTCGTATAAGTTGGTCAATGTTAGAAGTTGGACTCATAAAGATTAAGTCGTTAACGTTTTTTGTGTCTATTCCAAGGATTTTGTCAATTTTGTTATATTCTTTTTACTGTACTACTCTTTTTTAAGCTTTTCTATAAATGTAATGTGGTCTCCAATTAAAATGCAGTCATTCAACATAGATATTCCATAATAGTATCAAAGTTACTTAAATAGAATATACATTCGTCAGTTTTGTTTTTATGGTAGCCATATTTTTTTAGTCTGTTAGAAAGATCCTTGTAAGAGAGCCTTGCAGATCCTTTCAGGGCATAAAGGCCCACATTAATTTTTAAGACGCATTTTCTTTTTTTATTGTAAAAATGTTTTCTAAAAGTTTTCTATGTGAGAATTCTAGTTTGTCCGTAACTAAGTACATACCTTGTGGTATAAACATAAACTGGTGTATTTAGTTTTTTGTATGTAAGAAGGCTGTTGTTATATGTGGTGTTAAAAATTTAGATTTAGCAAGCAGTAATCGAAAAGATGATTTTGGTATAACGGGAGAAAATTTTTCTTGATAAATCAACCTTTGTTATTTGTTGAAGCACTCTTACTGTGATTCTAGCTTTATATTAGTTGGTCGTTAAAACTTTTTTATCGGGTATGATAACAATGTTAATAATTTCAAATCCATCGTGAACCATTAATGATTCCAGCTCCTTCGTGACTACAATTTTATAGTGTTCTTTATTTTTAAAATTCATAGCTTCTTTGTAGGTTAAGTAGTTATTGCTGTAGGCATTGAATGTGTTTTGGTTTTTTTAGCTAGATAATTATCACTTAGTGAATTTTTTTTTGCTGAGATGCTTTGTTGTTCCTCAAGTATATTGTGAGGCGTGTCTTAACCTGAGAATATAGTTATATTATTTTGATAGAGATAATGGGATTCAGTCGTGGAAGATTTGTTATCGTAGGGTTTGTAGGTATACTTCTTTAATTGAAGCTGTTTTCTAGGTCTGTTCTTGTTTGTGATGTGACTTCATTAAATGTGTGCGTCGTTTGATTAAGTTTTAAATTGTCGAGATTATAAGGTCACATATTTACAATTGATGAGTGGTTTGTTGGAATTTTCTAGAAAATTTTGTGGTAGAGTGTCTGTCAAATTTCATTAATTCATTATTAGAGTTGACTCGAGGAAACTCTTGTTTATCATATCTGTCTCTTTGTTGGTTTTTAGGAGTTGTTCAGGTTGTGGTTGAATTTTCATGTCTGTACTGCCCTTTGTGGTATCTGAGGGACTTAGAAATGAACTTAACGTTATTCTGAGCTGAGTAAGAGTATTTGTTCAATTGCATGCTAGGAGTTATATCATTAAAGTTATAATAAAGAAGGAAATGTATCTTCAAAGCATTTTATGTCTCTGGACCTTATAATCTCACCAGTATTTGTGTTCAGTATATTAGGATCCCTCATTAGTTGAGTCAATGGATTTTGAAAGAATAATACCTTCTAGAGCTCGGTCTTGAGATTTCTTTTTTATTATGGGGTCATAGAAAAGAACTTAAAAACCTAATGTTTGTTAGATTTAAAAAAGATGCAAGGCCTAAGATTTCGTTTGGAGATAGTTATTCGCTCTTTTTAGGGTCTTATTAATAATAAATGTTACACACCGAAGAGCTTCACTCCAATTATTTATCGGAAACTTCGGCTGTTCTAATAATGCATCTGGCCATATTAAATAGTGTTTGTATACTTCTCTCTCTTAACATATATTGTGAGGTGTCCTTTCGGACCGTAGAGAGCGCTTGTCGGATGTCTTGAAGCAGTCGTCATTTAAAAACTCCCTTTATCCGTTCTTATTTCCTCTATGATAGCAGTGTATGTGTTACCATTTATTTTAAGGTTTTTTATGTACTTATTGTGCTGTTAAGCCATTAAATTAGTAAATGCTTGACCTCAAATTTATTTTTGGCAAATAAAGTTGTAATTCGTTTGGACTTTTTGCTTCAGTAGCAACAATTACATATCTGAAGCCATCAAGAGGGAATGTCCCAGTACATAGTATCAACGTATATTAGTTGCCCGGGTTTCGTTTTTTGTGGGTTTCGCTCTTCTTATTGAACTTTTTCATTTTCATTTTACACTTTAGACAATTTTTTTTTTTACTGTCTTCATTTTTAAAATAAGGTTTGGTTGGGCAAATTTTTTTAAGGTAGTATTTGTAGAGCTCTTTAGTGACTAAACTGAGTGAACTCTTATTTATTGGTAACGAACATAGAGTAATTTTTTCATTGTAGCTCCCATTACCTAGAATGAAGAGCCATCTTTTTTTATACCTTAAGCAATAATGCACTCATTTTTTCTATGTATACCTTATTATTATCAAAGTGGACGATATAACCTTTTTCATATAATTTACCTATAGGAAAATAAGATCATGTTTACAATCAGTTTTGAAAATAGCTTTGCCGCCATTAAGAAAATTTTAAATATCCAGCTTTATAAACTATAGACTGGCCGTTCATTGTATTGGTAACATTTTATCATACTTTACATTAGATACAAGTGCTTTATCTTTGATGAAGTGAGGATAAGCATCAGCACCGACTATCATTTCACGTCCGGCAGTACGTTCTCTCCAGTTGTTCTTCATGGGGTTATTTTTCGATAGTCTATTTAAGCAAGCTTTCTCACTGTGACCTATTCTTCCGCAAAATGAGCAGGTCTCTCTAATGTGACACTGGGACAATAAATGAGACCCATTGCAGCCCTTGCAATTGAAGTTTCTTTTTTCATTACAGTTAAAAAGGTATTCTCCTTTGAAAAATTTAGTTTTGCTGATAGTATTGAAAGAGTTAATTCCAGAACCGTCCTCTATGTTGCCTTGTTTCTTCTTGAAGAAGGGCACCAAGTGCATATCTAGAATCAAGAGAATTAGAATTACTGGAGTTATACTATTCTAGAGAAAACACACTATATCTAAATTCATCTCCTACTGGATCCGGAAGGGCTATAATTTTATGCAAATTAGTTATTTCCTTTATGTGAGGTGTTAGGTTTTCAACGGTACGTTGCTCTTCAAGTTGGTTTGAGATGCTTTTCCAAACGATTGGCAAATTGTTGAAGGATTTCGTCGTTCCTTTTGTGACATTGCAAAGTTTGCATACTTTGATCATAAAAAAAACATGTTACTAGTGACTTTCTGCCGAAAGCATCCTTGACGTTTTGTATGGCTCGTTCCGGTTCGGTGACTTTCATTTCCTCTATTTTAGACTTTACGTCTGTGTGCAAGCTGTTCATTATAATTTATGTACCAAATGCTGCTCTTATAAATTTTTCATGTGAGGTAACTTGTAGTTCTCCATTTTTTTTTTTGGAGTCGTAAAAAAGGTCGTGTATCCCTTGAGTTATCAATGCTAGTTTAATATCAATTAGCCATTGTCGAAGTTGAGAGGCATCCTTCAGTAGTTTTCCATACCATGCATGTTGTCGTATATGTAAGTCCGAATGGTTTTGCATTTTAGTAAAAGTTTTATTTAACTTAAATAGGATAAGAAGTTCAAATGATAAACAATAATTTAAAATAGTGAGTAAATTATAGAGCAGTGTAAGAGGTTGATAAAAGCTAATGAAAATTAGTATAGTGACGTTATGCTGGAAAATTAATAGTTTAATAGTAGTTAAAGGAAAATTTAGATGTAAGGTCGAAAAAGACGTAAAGAAGGAGATAACGATCCAGTAGGACGTAGTGTGAGATTCCAAATGGATGTAGAAAGGATATTGTGACAAAAAAAAGATGTAGAGCAATAGGTAAGGTTGAGGCTTGGTGCTGATAACGTGACAAAAGCAAAAAGAAAAGAAGAGA